TATGCACTCCAAACAAACAAAAATCACCTCAAATAACATTAGCACTGTTCTCTCATCTCAATTACTATTAGTCCCTTTTGACACAAATAACTCCACTCCGCTGAGCAGTATGAACTCTATAAGAAGATATGCCTTTCGGGGAAAGAAAAGCCTTGAAGTCTGAATGCATTCATGCTGTATCTTATCTTATTTACCCATATTCATTAGTTCTGGAGCAGAAGAGGCCAGAGCACAGCCACCCCTGCTTTCCAGAGACATACTTTTAACACGCAGCTTGCAGAAAGCAGTTCAGCCTCAAAAAGTGATTTGAATCATAAATCAAATTTAATAGCAAGCAACTGTATGGCTCATAAAATCCGTTCCCAGGGACCATTGCCCATACATAAAACCTGCAGCTAACCGAGCGTATCTCATAAGAACTAAACATTTGCTCTTACAAAGAAACTGGGAATTTAGAAGACAAATTCCACAGTTGACTCCCACTAGCCCAAATTTCTTCCAGTGCTTACTTTTGCCTAGCTAAAGCTTGCTCAGGGTCTTAACTTTTTGCAATAAATGTGAGGACACCACTCAGTGATAACTACATTTTTATAAGTAGAGGCTGCATACACCTAGTCTGAAAGACTGTCCTCTCTGAGTAGGTATATGCCTATTAAATCCATTTACAAACACATGTCAAACTTTAAAACAAAACACAAATTCTATATCCAGACAGTGCTCAACAGACATCTCATACTGCTTTCTGATTCCATAAACTATTCTTAATCAGTGAGAGAGTTTATTTAATTGAGAGCTAGAGGTGATTTTAAGGGTACTCAATGTAGAATCATCATCTGCAAACATTTGATATTTCACTTAATATTACTTTATTAAGGACTAAGAATTCTAAATAAATATACTACAGGCTAAAGAGGTGAAAGTGGAAATCTAAGTCCTAAACCTAGTTCTGCTTCCATATGTAACTGTGTTTACATCGACAAGTCAGCTAATATCTCTGCTATAATGGAAATAATGCCCTTGCCTCTATTACCAAAGGAAGTACAGGGAAGATTTGTGTGGAACTGTAGTGTTCTTTGAAAAAATAAAATGCTACATAGTACAAGTCTTTTGCATATCTGACAACAGCAAAGGGAGAATTGTATAACTACAGTGTGCTGAGAAATTGATGGTTGTATACCCACATTTCCAAGAAAGGGATGCTTATGAGATCGCCATGATAAAGCTGCACAGTCAGGTCTTGCCTGTACTGTTTATGTCAGTCTGTATTAAAGTTTTGTTTGTCTATGCTGCTTTTTTTTTTCTTACACATTAAATTCAATTCTCAACAAATATTCTTAGGCAGAGAAACATGTAGTTTTTATTTGTGTAAATAATTTGTGCCTGACATGTTCCTTTTAATATTTACATTCTCAAATTCAGTCTTGAAAATTGAGCATAATTTTAGGCAATAATCATGCTGTATTTTAAATTCAATCTCACTCTACTTCTTCTTTTCTCCTTAATCCATGATTAGTTATCTTCTTCAGTAAATTTCCAGGAGGAACTCTTGTTATATCTGTTAGAAATCTGAATAAAATGTATCAGACACTTTTCAACACTATTTTCGTGAAGGATTCAAGCAACAACAAAGTGATAAGAGGGGACTTTTTTTCTATTCCGTGTTACCAAAAAAACCAAACCAAACCAAAACACCCAAATCCAAGGACTGGAACAGAGGTTACTAATGGGTAACAGAAAAGCTTTCTCATTTCATCAGGTAGCAAACATTCACAACAGCTGTCATTACATTCTAATGAAGAAAATTTCCCATCATTACATTAAAAAAAATTATTGCTTTTTTAAAGTGATATGACTTAAGAGTCCTAATTTATTAGGAGTAAAACTCAAAGATCTGGAGAATTCTGTATCATTTCCTTATTATATGCTGTGACTTATTGTCAGTTTGTTTTATTATGGAAATTACTTCAAAACCTAGCAATGACAGGGAGTAACTTAAACTCATTAACCTATGAAATACCTACTGGTAGTCAGATATTTCCTAATAAGGAGCTAACAACAAGAAGTCAGAATAGAGTCAGAAGCCTGCATTTTCCAACCCTAAAGGCAAATGTCAGATAAGAGATTCTTTAGAGGCAGTGAACTTCTCTATTTAGCAATCATTTGAATACACTGTTGATATTGTTTAAGCAGTTACACAGTCAGCTATGCCCCACTAATTTATATGTTTCCAGATCATATTTGTAGATACAAGGTAGCTCTAAAGGCGTCTGAAATTAAAGACCTTTCTTCAGAGCTCATTACATGCAAGATTATAATCTTCCTCACCTTGCTTTCAACAAAATGGAAACAGCTATACTGAATACAGAGACTGTTCTGCTGCTAAATCACTATATTCCCAATGACAATGAGGTGTAAAATGCTATTAGCAATCTAGTAATTCGTGGGACTTTTCCTCATGTGATCACTTGCTAAATCCAACAGTTATTTTCCAAAGCACTTGGGTAACCAACTTGGGCAGAACAGTGCTTTCAGGCCACTATAGGTTAAGCTATTCACAATTTAAGAGACCTACTTACTAGAAAGACACAACTAGATATTTTCAAATGCAAATATGAGGGGACTGGCATTAACCAGGATGCCAGTCTCTGTCGCTCTTTACAAGGAACTGCAATCCAAACAGCAAATCTAGCTCCTCATCCAGATCAGCAGAAAACCTGATTATACTTTTGAGACAGGTGAAGGGAAATGGTTCTAAATTGAGAAATTGAGTTTAAGTATAGAATAGCAAAAACTGTGTAGGAATGCCTTGTCATCAAAGCCAAATTAAATGTAGCCCAACTGTTCTAATTTGTTCCTCCTGACTTTTCTTACAGCTCCCCTAGAGATTAGCTTTCAGGACCTCTTTCTACCCCAGCTGGGTGCTTTTCAGTTCTGTCTGAAAAAAATGTTTTTATGAAATAACTTATTCTCTGAAATACAGGAAAGCTTATTTACTTTGTTCAGGGCTGGTGGTCCCACTCACATCAAGCTGTGTGCAGAGCTGTTTTACAGGATTATGAAACAGATGCCCTTTGTACAAAAAATACGTGAAGAAAAAAAAACATTTCCTTTGAAAACAATATTTCTGCACCTGAAAAGTGAGCAGCTACAGATATAAACAGAATTCATTATTTTTGATGTTCTGGGTTCTGATCAATGTCACGCTTCCCATTTCCCTGCTTTTGAGTTGTAATTAGAATTAACTTTAATGGCTTTTCATAGTATGTTCCTTATGTGAACATGGCTTGTTGGTTAGTTAACCTGTTGTTCTATTAAAGCAGATATCATTGGTCAAATAAAAGAAGCCGATAGCTTATTTAGCTTTAGTTCTGTCTCTAGTTTTTCCACATTTCATCTCTAAAAAATTAGAGCTGTTCCTGACTTAAACTGACCTTTATTATCACCTACTGCTCTGAGCAGCCCACCAGCGTTAAGGAGGCAGTTTCATTCTGCAATTGTAGGGAAGAACAAAGCAGTACTTTGAAGTAATGCCTCTTTCATTTGTTTGTAAACTTGCAACAGTGTTCTTGATTTTAAAGAAACTTTACTCTAAACTTTGTGCCTAAAATAATTTTGATCCATAAACCTTCAAAGGCATGATCAGAAGCTCAATCTAAAACCAGGCCTTTTATGTGTAATGTATCCTTTGCAGGGTCAAATATTTTATTGTATCAAAGAAAAAACATGTAAGGTTAATACTGTCACTTGAATTGTAGGAAAGAGATTAACCTCTTATTTAAATTTTTTTTCCCTGAAATATTCTGCTGCAAACTTATTGGATAGAGTTACTTTTTTAATTTTGTGGTGTTTTTTTTTTTTTAGATGGCAGTTCTGCTGCAGTGTAGTAGGCTGAGAATTACTGAGAATCAAAAAATGAAAATGTTCTATGTAGCCAATGTAATGGTACTTCAGCCTAATGAAGAGTACTTCTGTTTCTGTGATAATGGGAACACAAGGAGAAACCTGCAAGCGTAGTGCAAGAGCCTTGCAAATTACAGTGGCCAGAACACCCGCTCTATTCACCATGCTGTTTGTTTCACTTCATCTATTCATGCGGCTATACAGACTCCTAACAGTGGCTGTTTCTGACAGCATACTGAAGGAGAACTGTAAGAAACTACAGCTTGATAACCCTGTGTTATTTTGAGAGAATTAGCGTAATGTATTCCATGTGGAGATTACACACTTACGGTGTAATACAAGCAGTTTACTGTCAATGCTGTTATTGATATTTTACAGACTAAAGCACTTATGGTGTGAGTATATTGACACTACATAAACCTAGACTATGTCCAGCACATATAGAATTCTGATGTATAAGAACAACAAAGAATTCCCCCTCTGACATTCTTGCTGGCCAGCATTTCTAATTCCTCATTGGTTGTACTATACAGTGCATGACAAAATAATTCTAAGTGGTCCAATACCGGGAAAAAACATGCCAAGTTCCACATTTCCCTGGTGTAACCCCTTTTTGTAGTTCAGCAGTCTTTGTAACAACTTGTAGCTTGTGTTGCATTCTGGAGGTAAACACATTCAAGTTGTTTTATACCAAAGAGTAATTTCATCATAATTATACTGTAACTCACTTCTAGAACTTCCCATATTGCCCCTCCACTACTCACAGCCTATGGTACCATATTTACTCTGGAAGCAATTCAGCATGCACACTGGTTGCTTATATATTGTGCTGGAACTGTGCAGTTGGACATTGGATAAACTCTTCCTCACAAATCCAATAAGGGCCAGTTAATCATCTCAAGTTGTCTTGGGTTCTCCGTGCTCATGTTCTACCAAGTGAAACAGCATTTCTGTGACATTGTTAACCATGTCTCAACATAGATTAAAACTGAGAGGTTAGAATATGGAGAAGATATTAAGATATACATATAAGTAGATATAAGAAGAAATGCAAACTATACAGGATATCCATCTCAATTTGTCAATTGCTCAATTAACAGGAGGAAGACCAGTCAAGTTTTTCTGGTTATGAGAGCACTGGAGGTGAGTTTCTTTTTCAGTATCATTTGCCATTTAATTTTCCCTTGTTTTTAAATAGTTACTTAGAAGATAAAGTGAATTCGGGTTATTTATGTTGTGAAAATTATGTCTCAAAGGATTGTATCGTGAATTCTCTCCAAATGCAAATGAAAGCTTGTAAAAGATATTTCTACACTCTTTAGGCCAGTGGATCCAAAATTATTAGAAAATATTACTGTTAATCTGCATCAGATCTCATAGGTGTTTTCAGAAACTGGCAGTTATAAAAAGCTTGTTGGAAAGTATGACCTGCTAAGAGTCTAGGAGTAATGAAAAGATTAATCAAAACCTTTTATGGCTAGTAATATTATACAATGAGAGATGTACATACCACATAATAAAAACCAAAACTGTATGTGGTAAATGAATGTGTCTTTTAAGTGATTAAGATATAATAAAATTCCAGCAGGCTCAGATAGTGCAAGATTACCTTCTGTACTGATATAATCAGGCCAATGACTAGGACTCAGACTAGAAGGAACTGCTTTTTTTAAAAAAAAGAATTTCAGTAAAAAGCAAAGCTGTAGTACATACAGTAGTTTTGGTGCTAAACTGAGAGCAATACAGGGATTTCATTTAAGGTTATTACTGTGTGGCTGAATTTGAGGCTCAGGGTAATTTAAGACTACATCTGAGATGTAGTGAAACAAATATAAAATCTGAATGGGATGTGGATGAACTTCTATAGCAATTATAATGTAATAACATATTCAGAAAGAACACAATGGCTCATGAGGCACGTTACTACATCAAGATGCATCTTCTTCTCCCCATCTGCCTCCTGCCTTCCTTTCTCTTTTTTAAAGAATTGATGGGTATATGTAAGGTCTGATTCTCAGGTAAAATGTTTTTATCGTATCCACAACAAGAACTACAAAACTAGGAGATGAATAAGCTTGTGGATAATAGCTCCTTTTGGAAAGCAGAGCATTATAGCAGAAAGTAAATCTAATAAAATCAGATCACCTTGCATGAGTGTTATGCAATTCAGTGTGCAACATAGCTAGGATTGAAAATAGTAGCTCTTGCCTAATAAAGAAATTTTATTTTTATTCTAGACTTTTCAGAAGATCTGAGGAAACCAAATATAATTTTTGTAGTCGGTAAGTAGGATTCCTAATTTGACTGCTGCATTTGAAAATTCTCATGTTACTCAGTTTTGATTATATGATTTCTTTTAAAGTTTAGCAGAACAGTCTCATTAATGGTGGTTTAGGCTTTTGAGAAGGAGTTAGGATTTAATATCATGTTATTAACCTGTGTCTGATCATGCAGTTGTGTAAACCTGCGAGCAGGGAGCACATTTAAGTATGAACATATTCAAAACGACCTTAATTCTTGTGCAGGTACAGTAGTGCTGGCTGATCTCCGGCAGAAAAGCTGCCTCACCAGCATTAGTTAAAATGTTACTAGATTGGATTTATAACTCAGAATTTTAAGGTTTAGGTGAAAAACGTCAGTTCTCTTCACCTCTTCATTTGTGAAACAACTTTTATAAGTACAGGTTTCAATTCTGCATGTGCTCAACAAGCTGTTAAAAAGTCAAGGGCCTAGTCACCATGCATGATGCTTAGCACACAGACGCTTTGCAGGTTCAAGGTTTACTTTATTTCCTTTCTGGGTGTCCACAGAGGAAAAGTACCATGTTAATGGCCATTATTATATAAATGTGACTAATGTAATTAGCATAAACTTTGGGCAGCCTTTTAAAACAAATTATAACCAGAAGATTTACATGTTCCAGCTTAAAGCTTGGTACTAGTTACTTGTAAAGAGTAACTGCTATTGTATGAAGCAGAATTTTTCATAACTGCTTTACGAAACAGAGCAGGAACAACACATTTTCAATGACCTAAGAATAGATACCCAAACATAGGTAATTTTACATAAAAGCAAGTCACTTTGTGCATTTTTTTTCCTAAGGGGGGAAAAAAAAGTGACCTCTGAAATTAGTGGAATGGAAGTTTCATTCAGCTTTCAGGATGCATCAAAAAACATTCCAATACCAGCAGGTTGAGGGAGGTGATCCTTCCTCTCTGTTCAGGCTACATCTGGAGTACTGTGTCCAATTTTGGGCTCCCCTGTACAAGAAAGATAATGATTTACTGGCCTGAGTCCAGCATAGGACCACAAAGATGTTTGAGGGACGGGAGCATATGAGGAGAAGCTGAGGGAGCTGGGATTCTTCAGCCTGGAGAAAAGAAGGTTCCAGGGGATCTTATCAATATGTGTAATGATGATGGGAGGGAAGGAAGATGAGGAAGCCAGAATCTTCTCAGTATTGCCCAGTGACAGGAGAAGAGAAAGTGGGGACAACTTAAAATACATGAAATTCCATCTGAACACAATAAAATACTTTTTTATTGCGTTGGACTAGCTTCTTTCCAACCTAAGGGATTTTGTAAAAAGATAGCACGTTCATGTGTTGTACTTCTGTCTCACCATCCTATACCAAATACAAGTTGACTCAATTTGTTGCAAGCCTATGATAGATGCTATGTGTTTGAAAAAGTAAAATTAGGTTACTGAAGAGTTCACTGGAGACTTTTCTTAAGGGAAAGATGCACAACACAATTTTCAGTCTTTAAGCAAACTAATTCCATGCTTACTGAAGTACATCTTCCTGCTGTTCGCTACAGTGACAAATTTTCATTCTCTCTGCCTGACATATCTTAGTGGAAAATTATGTCTGGGTTTTTAAAAAAAAAGTCTGTGTTTGTACAAAGTGAAGATGCTCAAGGAATTTTGCCTCTCAGATTGTCCATGGTAAGGCATATTTTTCATTTACCTCTGGGCTGCTTTTCTTTTTTTTTTTTCAAATAGTGTTTTTTAGTTTTCATTTATGATTTTTTTATAGGCCACCTACTAGCTGTCTTCCAGTTTAAAACTGAAAACACACCTTTTCACTATTTATACCATCTCAGACTTTGTAGTAAATGCCTTGTATGAACAGAGGAAAATTCTGCTTAATCAAAAGTCCAAGTTTTCTTTGTTGAAAATGTTATAATGAAAAGTTTGACTAAACCCAAACACGGGTTACTTGTCAACGAATTATGGAGAATGATTTATACTTTTTCCCAAAATATCCCCTTCTCCACCCCCAATCCTCCCACCCCTGAAAAAGCTTCTTGAAGCCTGATGTGAAGAGTGAGGGTATATAATTTCTGGTTTGTTTCGTTTTTTGGGGCTTTTGTTTTTGTTTTGGTTTGGGTTTTTTTGTGACCAACATTATATCTTCATGGTTGCTCATTTGGCTGCAAAATCTTGATTTTACTCCATCTAGGTACTGAAGGTAGATGGTATTTCCCAAAGACAGATTTCTTGCTGGTGCTAGGTTAGAGTGGCCACAAGCTTTTTATACTTATGGCCTTTTCGGACAGATAAATCTGCCTGAATCACTTGCTGATCCATGTACACTCTAGGCTTAACGTTATGCACGCTAGCCAAACGCATACCATTTGCCTAGACAGTAAATTTGTCTTACACGAGTCACGAGCTGAAGTCCGGTCACTGTGAATTGTACAATGACAAAAGAAAGCCTTGAAGAAGCCTCCCAGGAGCAGAACAAAACTGTCAAGCTTGGGGGTTGGCGGGGGGGGCGAAAGCACCACAAATTCTCAGTGGCTAAGTACTCCATTGCAGTGGACAGCACTAGAAATGTTCAGCCCATGACACCTTGATGGAAAGAAAGCAAACAAGATGGGTTGGAGCATGCTGCTGTAGGTACTTGAATGGGAAAAACTGCCTTGGTCTCAGGTGTCATTAGGAATATTTACTCGTTACATAGATGTATTCAGGAAGAAATAATAAGATGCTTATAAAGATGTTTTAAAACCAAAGTTCTAAAGATGTGCATTTGAAGTAGTTTACAAACTAATTGAAATAAACACACCATCTGCCATAGCTGACAAATTGAGATACTGTTTACAAGACAAAGGGAAAAAAGCAGACTATTGCCTCCCCCACTCATTTCCCTTGAAAATTGTCCAAAAAGGGAAAGAAAAAAAAAATCTAATTAGCAAAGATTTACATTAGAGCTAATGTAGGAATTAGTTGGAATAACAGTCAACTCAAATTAATTAAGCAACAATATCAATGTTTTATACAGACAGCAAAGCAGAGACATAGAACCAGCAAGTCAGAAACATGGGAGATAGCAACAGGGTAATAAAAGAGGCAGAACCAAGTTAAATTTGGCCTATACAGTAAAATTCAGGAGAAAAATACAAAATAAACAGATGCAAAGATAAAACTTACTTCAAAACTTACGTAATTATTGCCAGTCACTAAAAAATAAAATAAAACCACCAAGAAAATAAAAAATCCACAACCAAAAAAACCTTTTTCATGTGAGCAATGTGAAAAGCAAAGTCTTAAGCACAATGAACAATGTATGATTTTGTCATTCTTAATTAATCCAATATTCTATATCACATCCAGAAAACTGTCATACATAACAAAGCTACTGGGAGCATTATCCCTCCCTATCCTCAACGGGAGCTTCATAAAACATAGCCACATTTGGCTTTGGTTGAGGCCGAAACTGAAGCAGGACATTTTTGGCAATCAGAGACGAACTCCCTACTTCCTCTTAAATGTAGTGTTTAGAACTTAGTCAACGTAACCAATTTCCTCTACAGAATCCTTGTCATATTCTTGGTGATGAACCAAAACTGATAGGGGCTTAAGCTCAATGTAAATAAGACCAGCTTTTCAGCTGACACTCTGAAGACATTATTGCCACCTACATCTACAGGTAGAACATTATCAGCTGCAGACACTAGATTCTTGTGCATACAAAGAAAAATAAAATGCCTAAAGCCCAAAATTCTTTTCCAAGGTTTGTCAGACCTTGAACAATTTGATCTAACTTTCAATTTAGCCCTGCTTTGAATAGAGGGTTTTACCAGATGAGGTCCCTTTCAGCCTAAATTATTCCTATATTACTGGTCCTTCTACAATCAAATAGGCATAGGATTAGCAGTGCTGATAATTAAAACCCCAGTCAGTCCAAGCACTAACCGTGGAAGCTGATGAAAGCTGCTTTCTCTGACTTTCTGTGAAATGAACTCCACATTTTCTTTAAGAGGGATGAAAACTCAGTGATGTCCCAGGACATCACCTCACTCTGCCAATAGGTGCTCCAGGTTGTTTTTTGATTAAAGTCTTCCTTCAGAAAAAAAATCAATGTTGAGGGATTTTTCTTGTTGTTGTTTTTAAATAACAGCATCATTGCTATATGGTTTCACTCAGACTAAAATCACAACAGATGAGAACAACAGATGAAGTGCTACTGAGAAGCCTTCAAATGCCATATTCTGAAGCTAAGGCTTATTTTTGTTTGGTTAAGTAATCCAAGTAGCATCGATAGAATTGCCAAACTGATGAAGTTCTCCAAAATCATAGCTTCAATATAAGGATAGCTTGTCCGGGGTTATTTTGAGTTCAATTCTGACTTCTGAAGCTCTGTTGTGCAGCTAGGTTTCCCCTGCAAGCATTTTTCCACAATACAGGGATGACACTCATTATGAAAAGAAGGACTAGAAATTGAAACATTTTAAAATGAGTGGTGGGACTCTCTTGTAAATCCTGCTGCTGGCATATTATGCAATTCTTCATCATATTTTGGTATACAATAAATTCATAAATTTTGGCAAGTTTAAAACAGAGACATCCCAATGTGTCTGTATGACACTTCTGATTTATTAATATTTCTGGCAGCAAAGCCGGTTCATGAACTGCTCACATTGCTTGTTCCTGTCCCTGCTCGCTCCCAGCAGCAGTCCCAGCTCCCTCTAGCATCATTAATTCGTCTGCTTGTGATGCTGCACTCTCAGCCATACCGGTACATTAGAATCACATGCTTAGGCTTGTGGTCTTCTATAGTCTGGGGCGGGTTTGGGGCATGAGAGAGAGCAGGAGTAAGAGATTCAATTTCTTAAATGGAGATCTGTCACTGATCTAAGGCAGACTGCACTTAAACATTCAGAAATGCTGCTTGGGCAGTTGTCATTTCTCCCTACCCACTGAGACCACTCTATTTCTCCCCTTGAAGCGCTCTCCGTGAAGCATTTCTGCATTCAATAATTAATGGAGAAAGGTGACCACTTAAGTCAGCAGTGCTGCCAGAGAGTTATTTACCAGAAGATCCCCCTTACAGAGTTTCACAGGCAGCTGAATCAACATAATGAAAGGGAAAACTGCACTAAGGGAGTGCATAGACCTTTTAATCCAGCCTTGTCTACAGAAAAGCGATATACAGAACTGCATTTAATTTCTGTGCTCTGTCTAGTACCCTGATTCCGGATACTTGCTTACTGTTTGTATCAGAAAACATAAATGGATGCACAAAGGATTCAATTTCCAAGAATAATCTCTGTGACTGGTACAATGTGCTTCATTTCTTAATCTGCAACTTTTTATTAAGTTAATGAACTTTAAAGCAAGATGTACTGCAGTTAGCAATACTAGCATCATACAAAGTATGCTAACAGTGAAGAACGGCTGGTAGTTCTTCTGTGTTCTCCTAAAGGTCACAGTACACTCATAATTCCTCTGGACATGTTCTAGACTTTAACTCTTTATCTTCGTGTCATATATGAAAACAGGAAGACAACATGATCAATCTGAACAGCAGGTTACCATGAATCAGACTGGCACTGGTTAACACCATTGTTTTTCCAAAATGTATGTAGGCAGAGTAAAAGATGACAGCATACAGAGAAAATGACAGTGTTCACAAAGACTCTTAAAGCCTTCACAACAGAAGTGGGGACATATTTTCCTCTTCCTAACAGCTGAGCCACTGGGAAAACTTCACTACTTTTTTTCAGTGTCTCAAGTTTTTTTCTGTTTGAAAAAGTATAACAAGTTGCAGTGAAGCCTTCTTAACTGAAAATATCTTTGTGCTAGCTTTTGTTTTATCTAATATGCAGCTGTTGTTCCTTATAAACGTTCTTCAAGTAAATTATTTTTTTTTTAGAAAAATGCATAAATTTAATAAAGAGACCCTCTAAAAGAACAAAATACATTTGTTTGCATCACTACAAATGGATAGTAAGCCTCATGACTGCAGGGGTAATTTGCTGTTAAAGCTGCTTACGTGGTAGTCCTATAATGTATACACTGAGCAGGAAGGAGGTATCTAATTAGTAAGGAAATGCACCCTCACATTCTTTCCCACCTAAATATCTATTTTCAGTCACATTAAATACTGGCCTTCGGAGGGAGACAAGACATTAATACTTGAACTTCAGTCATGTAAATTAATACTGGCATAAATGCTGAGTATGTGTTCAGCCCTCAATGTTGAATTTCCTGGGGGCATTCAGCCTCTTCTCAGATCAGGCCAAGCAAGTACTGCAGTCTCATTCATTGATAAGAAAGCAGAAGTATTTGTAAAGTGGGTCATATACATTTGTCAAGCAGTGGGATGCTTTGCTACTCATCAAATGATACTAAATTAATAGCAGTGGCTATAAAAATTACCATTTTTAGCACATAACTTATTTAATTATGTCTTTTCCTCTTTAAAGATTGAGCATTTAATCTCAGCTTTGTTGGAACTCTTCTGTAAAAAATAAACATGGTCAATTTTAATTAATATTTTGGAGGCACAGTAATTCTGATTATGGTGCATGCCCTGCATATTGTATCATTCTGATGGTGTTTCCTTTTAAAATACTAACAGATAAAGGTATTATAGAAAGACATCAGTTTTTCTGAATATTCACCTGCTAAACAACCAAAAATTGTCCTCGTATTGTTATTTCTAAAAAGACATCTAGTTTATTTAGTGTATGAAGGGACATGATTAAATTTCTCTTTCAGCTCTATATTTAGAAGAGGAATACTTGCATAAGAAACAGAATAAAGTAATCTTCATAGCTTTTTTTTTTTTTCTAATACTGTCTATATACACCAAATAAATAGGATGAAATTACTGCACTGCTAGTATATTCAGGGCCAGGAGACAGAATGCGTAAACAAGCACATATACACACAAACTTACTAATCTAAAAAAACAAAACAGCCCAGAAATAAAATTAATTGCAGCTACAGATATTTAACTGTCTCATTACAGATAATTTGCCTATAACTTCTCTGCATCTATTTCCCTGTAGCTACTATTATTTATTTCTTGTTTTCTTTCAATTGTTGCTTTTACAAAAGAATAATGTTCTTCTTATTAAAGCAAAAGAAAAACAAAACACAACCCACATTGGCAACAAAATGAGACCGTGACAAAGATATTTCTAGCTAAAATTGTAGCACAAGTGTGATTCTTACACCATGGGCTGATAATTGTCTTTGTGAAGCTGAAGTAAAAGACTCCAGGTTACAGTAGACAAAACCGTTCCTTTGATGCTACTGCCATATGACCCAATTTTTATTCTCAGCTACAGCACTGTAACTTCTCAGAAAATTATATGCTCAGAGCAATTACTTCCTAAATTGAATGCAAAAGTGAGAAGAAAGATAAGTCAGGAGGAGATGGTGCCAACTTTACTGTGAACATGTCATTCCTCTGTTTGTTCATATAATGATAAACAAAAAATAAAATCACGTATTTTCTGGCATCTGAAATCCACATAATAGAGCTGTGTAGTCATATTTGTAAGTCCCAACAGTTGATAAATACACAAGTCACACGCTTAAAAAATGTGACTGAAAATAGGTTTGCTTTTTTTTAATCTTGGTCTTGCCTCTTCTTTTGATTTTTGAGCACTGTCTCCCTACAAGGGTATAATTACCTCCTACTGCAGTACATCTTCTGAATAGATCCATCAGTGATTATAAAAATGCTGCTACACACCTTGAAATGTCTCCCCAAATCCTGATATTGTCACAACAGAAGTTTGCTTTCCCGGCCTCCCCCCGCCCGGCCCCAGCATGGCCCCTCAGCCCTCCCCGCCCTGTGCAGCCCTCACGGGTGCTCACCTCAGCTCCGCCGGCAGCTCTGGTGGGCACCACCACAGGCCTGGGACCCCCAAGAGGTGCCTTCCAGCAGTTTCTATGGCTGCCTGTCTCCTCTCCGGCTGGGCTGGGGTGGCTGCTGCTGGTCAGCAGCAGCTGAAGAGGCGTTTGGCATTTCCCAGGGTCAGCCCTCAGGGCGGGGAAGGAAAAGCAGCCACCTCCATTGAGGAGGTGGGACAGGGCAATGCCAGCACCTGCAGAGCAAGGAGGTGCCCAGAGCCTGAGACAGCTCCAGAAAAAGGGCACTTGCCAGAGAGGCATTCAGGAGAGACAGAGTTTTGGGAGTCTTGAGGTGGTAACAGCTCTCCTGTTGAAGGAAGCAGGGAGGCCTGAGGTGCCATTTCTGACAGTAGGACACTGCAGCGTTCCCCTGAGGCCTTGCCCCTCTCCACACGCCCTCTCTGTTTCCCCACAGGCCCCAGGAGATGCGAGCACCCAGCCTGCAGCTGTGCTGACCTGGGGCAGCCACAGGTGCCTTCCATCAGCCTGGGGAACAGCCACCTGGGCAGCTTCCCCTCAGCGCCCTGTCGGCTGGGGCTGCCCTTCACCCCTCTAGTACTTTGACTCTGGGACTGGCAGAGATGGTTTTCCACCTGAGTGCAGTTGTGGATGTAGAAGAGCAGGTGGTGACAACGTCTCCACGTGCCCTTTGTTGCTGAGCACTTGACTCTTGTGCTTCCCTGCAGTGTGCACGAAGAGCAGCCAGTGCCACAGCTGCAGGGAGCAGCGTGACCGAGCCTTGGGCAGCCATTTCGCAGCCTCAGTGCCTGTCTCTCAGTTATCGGCAGTATCAATCCTCAGTACCAGCACGTGTGAACTTGCCAGCTCAAAGGAAGAGGGCCCAAGCACTGCGTTTACCACAGTGCAAAAGGGTTTAGTTACTGTACACCTACGTACAGGCCACGTAACAGAGGCAGGTTTCACCACCTCTTTGCCTATACCTTTCCATTCCATAAATGGGGGTAAAATATTTCCCTCACAAGGACACGGTGAACATTAGTTTGCTGGCATTTGTTGCAGCTATCAAACTGACCATCTATGAGTCAAAAACCCTTCCCCACTGGCTGTTCTGTGTTTTTCCTTTACATGGTAATAGTGGCTTAGGAACACATTCTCTTCTGCAGGAGATTTCACGCGGTTGTGGCTCCCTCAACTCCGGTACACGTTGTTAAGTCAGCAGTGCAGTGTATTGGAAGAGAAGTGTGTGACTTGTTCTACTGTATACAGTGTCTTTGAAAAAAAAAACTTGCAAAATAAGGAGTTTCATCAATTTTCTCCCATTTTCTTGGTTGCTATAGTTTGAGAAAAAGGCATGTATTTATTCTTTTCTAATTCTAGATATTTTTCCCTCACAAAGGTGGGCCTGGCTCTGGCAAAAGTAGCCAATGTGAACAGTTAGCCAAGAAATACGGATTTACTCACCTGTCCACTGGTGACCTTCTCCAAAATGAGTTATCGTCATTATCAGAGAGAAGTAAATTGATCAAAGACATCATGGAATGTGGTGAACCTGTGCCTGGCGTAAGCGACAGTTTTATTTGGGGTCCTAATGGTTAAACAAAGGCAGTGGTAGGTAGGTTGTCTAAAAGGGTGAAAAGAAGAGACTAGAGCTGATGATTCCCATTTAAGTAAAGTTAATCTGCACCTTGAGGGAGAAGTTTCCTCATTGGCAGATCAGTGGCACTTCTTTCCCCTTTCTGTGCCAGTATTTCTTTACATTTCAGACTCACATAGGCAACAAATTAGTAATGAAATACAGTGAGACAGATGCTGTGCTATGCATTGCAAAATGTAAGAATAAGAACAGGTAACAGAAACTTTATGTCCATTTTATAGCTTCACATTTCAGATTCAGAGCTGGTCCTCCTAGCAGCTATTCTAATTTACAATACCTGCAGCAGTTCCCTGCAGAGCTGGCTAACATCCCAGAGTAGCTGGACTGCAGTTTAATGGAGACTATGAACACAAAGTGTGTTGTTCTCATCTGGACTTGACTTTTACATGGCAGGTCCGCAGCCCCAGCTCCTGGTAGATCTTCAGCAAGTGCAGCTGGATCATAGGACGTGTTTGTTAATGAAAGATACTGTGAAGTGCTGCTCAGGGGAAACTAAAAGTTATGCTGAGACCTGATTTTGATTGCTTTGCTCTTTGGTGTGCTTGGTCAGATGGGGTCTCTTATCACTTTGCATGCAATATAATTATACCAATGACATAGCAAAATGCAGTCCGATCAGAAAAAGCTGCAGCAGTACTCCAGAGTTTCACAGGTATTAACATTAATTTTGAAACTATGAAATATTCCCAGCTATCTAGAGGACAGTTTGGGAACCCTTGGATGGGTTGCAACACTAGAGAGAAGAAAAAAGAGGGTACCTGCAGGACAGGAAAAACACCTGCAGTCACAGAACCTGCTTTTAGCAAAACAAGGCAGTTCTCAAAGTCATAGGACTAAAATCAGTGTAACAAACAAAGGTTAATCTTTCTTATTAATTAACCAAGTAACTTCCTTTCTTTCCAATGCAGGGTATTGTCCTAGAGCTACTGAAGGAAGCCATGGTTTCCAAGTTAGGGGACACAAAAGGATTTCTGATTGATGGGTATCCCCGGGAGCTGAAAGAAGCAGAAGATTTTGAGAGCAAGGTGACTGTATAATCATAATACTGTTATAACTCCTATTAAGATCCTACTGTACTTCTGATGCTGCCTAGGTCCCCATCTTTAGCTTTTGCAACAGGGACAAGTAAAGAGCCAATCCAACAGCGCTGTGCTGCTTATCACTGAAACTTTGGCACTCCATCAATATAGTAACTCCAGCTTTTGCCCTCACCTCCACAGACTCTGTAGTACCAGGAGAAGTAAAGGCTGATTTTACCCTAATTTAATATAAACCAGGAACAATTCATATTTAGTGGAAAGCACCATTTTTAGAATCAGTCTTCTAATTCTGGTGGATGGCTGCTATACTCATGAAAATCTCATCGAGCACTCTTTGATGTAGGTTCATGAAAGCATATATCTGCATGGTTAATCTCTCATACCATTGAGCCGGCTCTGCTGAAGCTTGCTGCCACTTTGAAACAGCAAAACATGGATTTAATTTCTGTGATGAGTAACAGGTGGCATAGCCATAAAAAGAGTGTTTTGCAAGTGACTGTGTGGTAGTTCAGAGAGTTATCGATTTCCTCAGTATGTGCTAAGACGTACTGAGAAGTCTCAGCTGTACATTTCTCAATCTGCAGAAAATACTCTATATAAACCCCACGAATGAATTTGCCAGGGTTTAGGAGAAAAGAAGTGCTGAACTAGGAGAAATAGTTCAGTATATATTCTCTCATATTACACTCCACAAATGTCCTATATTGGTTTGAAAAGTGATAAAACTTTAATGAATCATCTGTTTTCTCCCTGAACCTTTAGCTGCTTTGTTTTACCACAAAAGCCTAGCAAGATTTAGCCATCAGAAGCTGGACAAAATAATGGGCAATGGGATTTGCTATAGAAGCCATTCATGGAAATGTTGATCTATTAGTTCCTTTACTAAAATGACACAGACCATTAAAAAGACATTGGAGATTTCTTTCATTTTGTGTAGAAGGAGGAGCTATTTCAGGAGTGCTGCTTTTCTGGCAGGCTACTTTTCTTGATGTATCCGGTGCAAAAGCAGAGCCCCTTTCAGCCCCTTTCAGTTCCCGTAGACACTGTAGCAGCAAATCCCGTAGTCCTGAGCTGCCTTTGACATTTGGAATAAAATACAAGGACCTCAAGTGATAATTTTGAATGTGCTAAGTCATCCCTGTTGTATCCATGTATCCACTTCAGTTTTCACAGGGTGAACTTGGCTGGCTGTAAGCTGCTCCGTAAGTCTGTGAAGTTTTTTTAAATGAGTCATTACTGAGATAATGCTTTGCAGTTCTTTCCAAAGGGTGATGAGAAGTTCTTCCTACATTATAATTGAGTGAAAAGAGGTGGACATCGAGCTTTATTAATTAAGAGTGGCACAGTGCAAATGAATAATGCTACATATCTACATGATGTGTAAAAAACATTAAAATTGTTAACAAAGAGCTGTTCTATTTAGAAGACATCAGGGATAATGCTTATATGTAAAAGCTTGACAGCCCTAAATAGAATTAGCTGTGTAGAAACAGCTTATTCTCCAGGCAGTTTTGCCCAATTCCTTTCTATGACATAATTGTACTTTTACCTAGCCATAATTCTAGAGGAGCACGTCTCTGTTCCCTCCTCAGACTTTCTGCTAGGTGAAAAGTAGAAAACAATATTAAATTATAAGTTCCACATCACCAGGTGGAAGATACCCAATAAGACAGAGTAAAGACACAATACATTAGACTTATTTGGCTTCCTGCAGATGTCCCCACAGCATGCATCACTGAAGCTAAATTGTGTCAGGAAAACAGTAATTTAAAAAAAAAAAAACAACAACCCAGTAGTAAAAATTGCTGTAATACCTGATAGGGCCATTACTTTTTCCTTTTGCAATTTTTAACTCAGAGGAATGACATTTCTGTAACATTTTAAATTCCAGAGAATAGCAACATTGAAACTTTTAAGAGAATCATATAGATTTTTCAAAAGCAAATCAGACCTGGTCTATCAAACAAGATACTGTTATCTGATCCTACCAGTCAGTAGACTCCTTCATATCCTCATTGCAAGGTGATGATATGACTATAACTGATGAAAGGAGTAATTCCTCTATTTATTCCTCCTCTTTTATTCTATTATAATTTATAACAGACCATGGAATTCCTCATGTGGAGCTGGGAGGAAATAACTTCTCACCATCCTAGTCCAATTATACAAAAAGGATATTTGTTTAAACCATTGATTAAGCCCACATCTTTTTTAACTTCTCAATCTAAGTCTCTTGCACTGTTCAGACTGCCTTGTTGGCTTTTTTAATCCCAGAACTCAATACTGCTGCTGCTAATAGCATTAATGTTTTCTGAGCTGTGTGGGAAAAATTGATGGATGAAAGCCTGTTGAACTGTTTGACATAATCTCTTGGCTTCAGCTTTCTCTTAGAAAGTCATTAAGGTAGTAGAAAGGTCCATAATCCATACATCCTCAGTCAAATGCAGAAGGCCTAAGGTGAAATATTTACCTTTAGAATATTTCTTCTTTTAAGGGCTGTCAACAAAGGTAGCAACGGCAATTTCCATATATCAAACATTTAGAGAAGAGAAGGCTCCAGTGAGACCATTATAGCAGCCTTCCAGTACCTAAAGGGGGCTACAGGAGAGATGGGGAGTCACTCTTCATCAGGGAGGGTAGTGACAGGACACAGGGTAACAGTTTTAAGCTGAAATAGGGTAGATGTAGATTAGATATTAAGAAGAATTTTTTTTCCAGTGAGGGTGGTGAGACACTGGCACAGGTTGCCCAGAGAAGCTGTGGATGCCCCATCCCTGGAGGGGTTCAAGGCCAGGCTGGATGAGGCTTTGAGCAACCTGGTCTAGTGGAGGGTGTCCCTGCCCATGGCAGGAGGTTAGAACTAGTTGATCTTTAAAGTCCCTTCCAACCCAAGCCATTCTATGATTCTATGGTTTAGACTTTCTTTGCTGTAGCCATGGTAAAATCACGGATTTGTCATGGTCACTTATGTGAAGAACAGTTGTCTTTTCTCAAGACTTCTCACTGTTTCCTAAAAGGTGTTCTCCAAATCCCTGCTAGAAAGGGAATGAATGAGAAAAAGTCAGAGAGCATCATTGAAGGATTTAATACATAACTTTTCTCTGATCCTGTAACACTTTTATTTTACTTGATAAAGTGGAGTTTACCCCTTTAGACTCAGCCCTACAGTTGTTGCTCAGAGAAAACCTTGTGTCAGAGAGAGCTGTGCCTGAGCAGAGTGCAAGACAGTGTGTATTGCAGGATTTATGCTAAATGACATGCATATTTTTCAGCATCTTGGGGAAAGAATGATGGGGATTTGCATTTAGAACTTTTGTTGCTCTCCTAAAATATTATAAGGAACATTTTGCTCTTTCTTGACAGCTCTTTTTCACCCATAAAATACTGCAATATCTATGATCAAGATCTAGATAGAAACAACTATTTACTATCTTTACCAAGGCCTGTGAATAAAAATAAATAAATAAATATTTATTTTCTTTGTAGAAAAGAGCAGACTCTCCCTTACAACTATTTTGGCACTAGCCAAAAGGCTCTAAATGGTGGGCTTCTCATACAATTTGGAAATTACTCACCAATTTGAAAATGCAGAGAAATGTATCACATCCTTCCTTTATGCCATGGACAGTAATGTTGTAGAGTTACACTGCAAATAATTGACATAAAATAGTGCATGACATAAAGTAATTCACAGGATATATTCCTGTGAATATGTCCAGTAACAAGCATTTGATGGTGTCCCTGAGCCTGTCTGTTGCTACTCATCTCTGTTCCAAGTGGGCACACTTTGATTTGGGCATTTCCTTCTATTGCGTCTTGCAATTCTAAGCTATAGTTTACAACTCCCTGAATGAAAATATACTTTTCACAGACCAAACAAAGCAAAGGCCAGAAGAATAACTGTGTCAAGTGTTACCTGAGTCCAGTGCTGTTTGCATCAAGCTTTTATCAAACAGTTGCAAATAACAAACAAACTGACAATATCTTCAGTCCAAGTAGCCTTGATCCTGAATACTGGGATCTGTAAGTGCTGCTACAGTAAGAGGTGTTTGTTAATAAGCATAATTTCTGCATAGACAAATACAAAAGTAATTTGCTAATAAATTCCTTGATTACTCTTTTGGTAGTGTTTCTTTTTAAAATTTTCCAAACAAAATCAGTTTTACCAGGCCAGTGGTTTGAATACTTATTGTTTCTTTGCTTCTAGATTGGGGAACCAAAACTCGTGTTCTGCCTGGACTGCTCTACAGAAACCATGAGCAGTCGCCTTCTGATAAGAAATCAGAGCAGTCAGCACTCTGATAATGCCGAAACCATCAAGGAAGGAATCGAAAGCTATTACCAAGCGTCAAAACCTGTGACTGAATACTATGAAAGGAAGACACAGTTATGCAAGGTAAATTTCTTGACCTTTTTAACTAAATTATTGCTTTTTACTTCCATTATGTGAGCAATATTGGGAAAATACTGACACGACACCATTTATGAGTGGTATTAGTTTCTGTGCTTTCCAGTTTGTTCTCATCTTGTGCTTCCCTGGTTTGTTTGCAACTTCTACAAACTTCTGAGTTCCACAGTACAATTTGAAAGCATAAAAACACAGATTTATTCTGAGTCTGAGAACATATCCTAAATTGCTGCCTCGTCTATATAGAATTTCTTATTAAACATTAATGCTGGAAGGCTTTTCTGTAAGTATTAAGATTCATTTCTATGTAAGGGCTTTCAGAATTAGGATGAAAGATTATGTTAATCCAAAACCCTTTAGTTAAATTTACAAAACTGACAGTGTATAACCAGAAATAAAACAGACCTGCACACAAGAAAGACCTTTCTGCTGGAATACATGACATAGTTATATTAATTTAAATTAATTACCTCAGTTTACACCTGCTCAGTTTGTGATATTTAAAGGATATTTTTATTCTCTAACCATACTTTACAGAGAAGAAAATAAAAATTCCATCAGTGCAATCAACTGCTGGCACATTTGTAATCTCATTTACATGGGATGATTATATTTTCTTTTTGTTTATTTCTCTGCTCTGTCATGGCAAACTGTCCCATATGTTCAGCCACAGAAAGATCTAGTCCTACTGATATTTCTTGTTCTAAGAGGGAAAGAAACCAATAATAGTTTCTGGAAATATTATGGGAGCTTTTTGCTAGAGGCTGTAGCAAACATGCAAATCACATATGCCCAACCTTTCTCCTCTGCAAAGTTCCCAAAAGAGAAACATGCAGATAATTTATGCACCCGTATCCTGACCTGGGAACAGAGAAGACAACGTGGTCCTGAGAAGAATGATACTCAAAGGGAGAGTCCTCATTTGCGTCCTTTGCTAACCCCACAATAAGTGCAAAGGAGGCAAACTCTAGAGTGGCAAAAAAAAAAAAAATCCCCAATAACTTTTCTTTTTTAAGCTTCAGAATGACTATCTGGTTTTATTTGCATTTTCTTTGACGAGCTATCTTGCCAACATTGCAAGGATGAGTCTAATTAAGAATTCAGTACAATACACAATACACCAACACAATGCGATGCGAAGATCTCTAAGATCTTATTGTGGTGAGCTGTGTCTACCACAGTGTTGCCTTTTTTGAAGCATCAGGGAAGTGACAGCCCCAAAGAGAATGAAACTACACTAAATACTTTCACACAGATTTGCATTCATGGCCTGTCTTATTTCACTTGGCATGGACTCTCCTTGTCCTTCCTTATTACTTCTGCTCCAAGTTTCTGCTCCACCTCCTGTGCAATCTATGCAATGGCAAAGCATGCAGCCTTTCCCTGAGAGCTTACAGCTCATTAGATCCTTAAGGGACTTGCCTAGGCTATGGGTCAGAACTGGGTGTGTGATTTGCACTCTTTTGTCGTTAGCTTTGGAGGGAACTGACATTGTGTGTTTGCATGTTAGAAAATACTTGTGCATTGCTTGAACAGTGCTTACACTGTTCTTGCAACATCTGAACATTGTCTGTACTTGCTGCTGATGAATGTTGGTGTTCCACGTACTTTCTGTCTTCTGCGTGGAACTATTGGGTATGAAAACTCTGTAAAATCAGCTTTATAAACATTATAATGTAAAATGTCCTTTTAAGGTTGAAAAATGTGTTCTGTTTTTCTTGAACGCAGGTACTCTGTGTTGAAATATATACCTCATCTGCTTTTTACTAAACTGATAAAATACACATCTGCTATCAAACATGTGATTCCATTATGGATTTAAGTAAAGCAGGGAGATGTCCCCCCCCCAACCCTTTTGATGTAGACAAGTACATGTTCAGTTATTTGTCAGCATTTAGAGAACACTGCCAAAATACTCAGTAGAGGCAGGCTGTTAAAATTCATCCTCCCAAGGCTGTGCCTGTCACCCTCAGCCAGCCTCGGGTACAAGCCTGCAGCCCTGCTGCCTGTACAGCAAGGAGCAGAAGCTAATGTAGTTTTCATACAAGCGGCATGTTAATGTTTTATTGTTCATGGGTGAGAGAAGTGATTTTTTTAACCAAGTGTTGCTGAATACTTGTGGGAATCTCTTGTAAAGTTTACTTTGCACCTACAGTGAAAGTGGGAAAGTAGGACTGAGCATTTTTTTTTGCACAGGGCAATTGACTTCCGTAGCTATTCTGATCCAAATATTCCCTGTCGGTTCTGCAGTGGACAGTGCTGGAATTAAAAAAAAAAAAAATCTGTTTTGGTAATACACTAAATACTGTGAAACAAAGTAATTTATTTTCTGGAAGGAATGATTCTTTATGAAATTTTTCATGGATAAGTGAACTCAGAAGGGTTTAATCATACAGTCTGGCCTGGTCAGTGACACAGCTCAAGCACAGTGCCTGGCGTAGTGGGATCCTTCCAGCGCCCAGTCCTGCTTTGAGCAGGAGGTTGGAGTAGATGACCCACTGAGGTTCTTTCCAACCTGTATTATTATCCTGGAAATGCACATCTTACAAACCTTTACATTATTTGGCTCAACAATTTGAAGAATAAAGACAAAAAACAGTTAAGGGTTGATCAGCAGCTGTTTTGAAACACAGAGAACTAGATAACATAAAATGTATAGCTGTTAGCTCTGTGGGAAATTGAGATAAAACAGACATTTAGGTTTACAGTTTTAAAACTATCTTAGTGGTGAATATGTTTAAGCTGCATGTGTTGAGAAAAGCAGAGAGTGAAGGGGAAGTTTGCAATTCCCAGGACATGGGGTTAGTTTCTTATTTATAGCAACATATTTTACAGACTGCTAAGCATTGACATTTGCAGCCACTCTGATGTTCTCTGAATGAGGAAAGGAAATTCAGGTGGAAAGCAGAAAAACTACCAGTAATACTTCTGACTGCAATTTTTTTTTGTGTGGGCTAGGCTATTTAAATAGTCCTTATTTTTTGTTATTTGTAATACCATACACATACCCAGAAGACCGAGACACTACCTAGAGGCAGTCGAACATGGTTAATATTTTTCTTTCTGATTTTAATTATAACACCACATGTTTTCAGCTTTGGGAATCTACTCATTCCTGAGTGGGGTTTTTTAACTCCCCAGCATTGACCAGCGCTGGTTGAAGATCTTAATGCTCCCATTAAGATGCTGCTGCTTCTGTAATTCTGCTCACTGAAAGAACTGTGTATATGTTTCCTAATCCATTTCAGGCAAAGCCACCAAAGTTAATTTGCTAAGTGTTGATTTGAAGACCTCTTAAAGTAAATTATGTCATCTACATTAATGATTTTTTTAAAAATAACCCATGGAGCTTCATGTACCTACAGACCAGAGGCTTGTGCAGTCTTTTTCTCAGGGAAAGCTGGTGGGATCCCATAGCTTCAGGGTTGCAACGTCTTACCTGAAGGTGCTGTTTGCAGATCCAGATCAGCCTGTGATCCCAGGACAAGTGATGGCCAAAGCATCTGAAGAGAAGCTGTTTAAGAGAGGAAGAGAAGAAGGGTCTAAAGGAATCTTTAGTTGCCTTCTTCTGGGAAGTTATTACTGCCTAGGCTCATTTTTTCAACAGGAGGAGCTCTTCAGTGGAAGGCCCACATGAGCTTTATGTCCCTTGAGACTCCAGCCATGCACCTTCTTAAGAATTCAGAGGAGTGGATGTTGAGAATTTTAGGAGAAATATTAGAGTCTAAATCCCACCCATGAAGATTCAGCATTAACCTTTTCTAACCAGCTTGCTGCAATGTGTGACTAAGCACCACTAATAATTGTAGGTGAAATAGTGTTTGATTGTATAAGTGAGCATGTCTTGTAGGGCTTAACTGTAGCATCCAGTCTCTGCTTTGCCACAGAAAAGAAAATCAGAATTGTTAAATAGACTTGTTTAACAAGAAAATAGCATTGGCATATCGGTATTATTTGATTTCTCCATTTTTAGTGTATTAAGGTCTGGGGAAAGTTTTCCACAGATTCGGAACAGCACATGGCAACAGTGATATGTATTTAACTTGTCCAATCCAGCCTAAAAGTTTTCAGTCCTGAAACAGGCCAATTAAATATGCAAATGTGAAATTCAGTCCTGGCTCAAGGCCAGCAAAAGGTCTGGTGTGGGAATTAGATGCTGGATGAGCACAGTGGAGGAGGAACTGACCTGTCGTGCCATATCAAGGTGTGCTCGAGACTGCTTTGTCAAATTCGCTTTCTTGTTCTCTGCATTGGAATGGGTGTTACAGCATGAATGCAAGGAGCCTAATAAACACAGGAGAGACAGAAGAACTTGAAGTCTGACCTAGCTTGCTCTTCAGTCAATAGGAATTCTGTCTTTACTTTACTTGCACAGAAGAGACAAAGGTGTATGGTTGTAGCAGCATTCCCATTTTAATCAATGAGAATTTTATGGCCTTCTCTAAACCTATTGTCCACAGATGCATTCATAAATAACTAACGTGCTATTTGGAAAGGCAATATTTTTCCATTCAGCTGACCTCTGAACAAGAACAATGACCTGATGAAGCTGCCAAAAGATCAGGATTCTGTTTGAAATTTCTCTTTTACCAAGATTACCTGTCAGTGGAAGTGTGAGGTACGTGCAAAGGGTGGAGACTTTGCCTGCAGATGAAACATCTGTGGACCTGACAGGAATAAATAATAGTCATCTTTCCAGCCACCCAGCTGAGATGAAAATCTGTGATGTAACTCACGGGGATGTATTTACAAGGGAAGATAAACTGACTGAAGGATGAAGGGCTAAGAATGACAGTGTCCTCCGTATGCTTTTCTGCCTAGGCATTAAGTTTCTAAATTGTGTTCTGAAAGGTAAAGTAAGAATAAGTTAGAAATTTTCCAATTAATTACTAAAAAATAATATTTTGGGGATATAGTTTAATATTCCATAATCTTTTCATAGTCAGTTACAGAACACCCACCTGGCACTAAGGACAGCAAGTGGGTGCTCTTTAACAGAGACCTTATATTGGCAATGCAAGGACTGAAAGCACTGCTCACAAAAGGAACAGTTGCAAGCTGCCTGTCTGTGTGGGAATCACACATCTCAGATGAATGAAATGAAACAAAATGCACTATGGTAGCTGTAGTAAGCAAGTAGATACTGCTGGTTTTAAATTTATTACTCAGTGATTTCCAAGGCAGCTGGACAGAAAAGTGCGTCTGAAAATTTAGTGGGCACCTACTTGTGTTTTAACGTGGCTAAATGTAAATGCCTTTGAATACATGTCCCTCTGTCAATTGAGAAGAAAGGGAGAAAAAAACTGATTGTTTTTAATATCTGACTCACCCTTTAAAGCTTTTTTCAAGTGACAGTGTGTAGGAGGGTAAGAAGTAATAGAGAAGAGCACTGCATTGGTAGTCAAGCAAGACAAAACCAATCCTACCTAGCTAACGTAAGACACCTACTAGGTGTCTTAAATACAAGTTCAACGTCATCTGAAGAAAAGGGGCATGAGGATAACACATAGGTTAGGCAGTTGAGAGCACAGGATTTTCAAGGATGTCCAAAAATCTTCACTATTTCAGATCACACACTATGGAAGCTTAGCCTACAAAGTTCAACCCAAATGCATTTTTCTTTTTCTTTCTTCTTTTTTCACAGTGTTCCTACTGGTTTTTTTTCTAAAATCAGTTGAAGTCACATGCTGGGTAGGCAGCAGTTACTAGATTCCTATCACAAGCATTTTCCATAACATTATGAAAGAATGAGTGACCATACACCCTCTCATGATCTGCCACTTCTGAGCCTTCTCGTGCTGATTCCCTGTTACAAGTGTCTCTGGGGAGGGGCAAATATGTACTTTTCCCTTTAGAGAAGGGATAATAAATGGTGATAGCGATAGCAGGTATGTAATTTATTTCTGTCTTCTGAAAGGTTGTCAGAGAATCATTAACCCTGGTAGGTTAAGTAGGTGGGGAACAAAGGAACAAGTGTTTCTGTGTCACCCTGCTTGGTGGCTTGTGACACATTAGATGAGACACCAGGCTAGAAAGATACATCAGAAACATTAGCAGGGGATTATAGATAAAACACAGCAGTAAATTCATGCCAAATGCAAATAGGTATCAGGGCAGCATGTTTCCACTGGTTTTCCAGGCAGCTTGGTCCATCACTCTGAGAACCAGGTACTGTACTGTCTCAGAGAGGTTTTTAACACTTAATGACAAAGGTATAAATGTTAGTGACAACACAGCTGAACTTGACTGACCTACAATAGGCAGCCTCTAACCAGTGAGTTTATTCCGGAGTCTCAGTGTGTCTTTCTGAAAATGGTGGTCCTCAGCCATCCTCTCTGCAGACAGTTGGTTTTTTCTCAGTGGCGGTATACATTTAGGGTTCTAAATCCCAAAACCTACAACAAATGGAGATTTGATGACAGAAAATCTAATTGGCTGATTTTAGTGCAAAAAGGAGCAACATGGTACTATGGAGATGATTACTCCAGTCATTTTTCATATGACCTCATTAAATTTCTCTCTTTGAAGTTACCTACAGCAATAGTGGCATTTCAAAACCAGAAGCACTACGGAAAACTGTATCTGGATCTTGCTTTTATGAGAAGACAGTAGCCTTGTAAACCTTGAGAGTAGTCCTCATTTATGAGGTTTGTTATAATCTGAGAAATACTCAGTTTTCTCTCCTGGAGCTGCAGAGAGTGCCAGTGAATTACTGTGGTACTGGCTGTGAATTATTGTCACATTAAGTTAGTTTTGTGCCACGACTTTAAGTTAGTTTTATGAACTGGACCTTTGTTATTTAGGAGGCCAGCATGGGAAGCACTGGGGCTGTCATTAGTCATGCGCATCCATATTTTACTGTAACTGTTAGGAAGTCAGTGTTCCAGCCAGTCATGAAGGGTGGCAATTTCCATGCTTACAAACCTAATTCTTCATCACAGCTGCCCAGATCTAGATCTGAGCATCAGTCCCCTTCTAGAAGAGATCACTGAAAAGCCAATGGCAATCAGCTGTGCTGATTAGGTTAGACCGGTTAGCCAGTGCAGATTTATTTATGGAATAAAGAGATAATAAAAATACATATTAAGACCAGAGAGCTTTGAAGTGGTTGTGGCCTTCACCCTCCACGAAGTATATTTCCTGTGGGACAGCCATATGAAAATAGGTGTTGTGGCAGTTGAGACAGACTTAACAAGCTGCTTTATAGCAGCTGAGATGGGAGTTGCTAGTTTCATTGCAACTGGAGGAGTTAGGCATTTGGTCCAGAATGGTTCACCGTTCCCCTTTTCTCTTTGCTACTAGTAAATAATCCCCTCCTAAACCATTGTTTTTGGCACAGAAAGCTTCTGGAACATGTGCAGCCCTCGTTTGAGAACTGACCTTTCTAAAGCACCACCTGCTGCTTCCCCAACTACTCCAGCACGCGTGTCCATCAGCATTATGTAAAGCAGCAATGTGAGCACATGGCAACATGACACAGGGCAAGGGAAGTGAGAGAACCGTGCTTCTGAAAGCTTGATGGGAGGGGAGAGGGTAGTTCAGGTCAGGCGGTAAGATCCCCTTCGTGGGTCCGAGGGGACTGGACGCAGTCAGGCACAGCTCCCCGCAGGTTGGCCAGGCTGGTCCTTGCCACTGCTGGAGCTGCCGTGTGCAGCGGCGGACTGGCTGGATGTGCCAGCACTTCTGACGGGATGCAACAAGGGACCAGACTTCGCAGCATCTGCAGATGCCACCAAGAGTGAAACCAAGCCACGGAGCGTGAATGCCATCCCTTGCTGGATCTCTGCAAGGAGCAGCTGCTGACTCCCACACAAGACTTACCACCGGGGGACTTAAGTGTACATTGAGTGCAGTCAGACTGTACAGGAGCTGGCTGCAAGCCAACACCGTAGCTAAGAATAATTTCATGGCCTATTTCAAAAATAGATTTTTTTGAGTTTGAAAATCTTTTATTCTCCTGCAGAACAAAGAGGTGGCAGAAAGTATGATGGTCAGGAATGTCCCCTTCAAACCTTACAATTGTCTATCAGCCTAGTCAGCAACTTGAAGATGAAAATGCAGCACATGGCTCAGAAAAACAAGCTCTAGCAAAGCTGTCATGGGTCCAGTTAAATGCGTGCAAACTCCCTGGCATGCATGCATGAAAGACTGAGCATGGAAAAGTAGAGAGGAAGCTTGCTTTGGAGTAGAGAATCAAGGCTCTCACCAGGCATTTGAGAAGAACTGAAGAATCATCAGATGCAATCTGCGTGCTGTACACAGCCAGCATGAAAGCTGCTTCTGTCACTACAGGGAAGGCAGTTCTCCTTCCTCAAGCAAGGACCAGAGAATCAAGGCTCTCACCAGGCATTTGAGAAGAACTGAAGAATCATCAGATGCAATCGGCGTGCTGTACACAGCCAGCATCAAAGCTGCTTCTGTCACTACAGGGAAGGCAAGAGACAGTTCTCCTTCCTCAGGCAAGGACCTGCGTGACACTCACTGCAGGGGATAGACATGAAACAGCACTCAGAAAAGCTCGGTGCTACGTTATGTTTTCTAATAAATTGGTCTTGTTTTTCATGAAGTCCAGTCATGAAAAATAACTTGAAGAGCCTGGACAACCTCTGGCCAAAACAGAAATCTTAGGAGTGTTAAAGAAAAAAATTTCTTCAATGAAAGTGAGTTCTCGTACAACAAAACTAGTGTCACTGTAAAATGTGTTGCCCAAAGGTCATCACTATGGTTGGACTCAATGATCTTAAAGGTCTTTTCAAACCTAAATGATTCTATGATTCTATAAAACCAGAACCAAGTCACCAAGCTTGCAGATAACAAACGCACAGGAACACAGAACCCGGCCAAGTTAAAGCCATTCGAAAGCTGTCAGGTCAGTCACATACTCTGACACTTTAGACAAGAAACAAATTAACAAGTCAGTGCTATTCACCTTATTAACAGTATGATATCAAAGTTGTTCTGTTAGGTTTCTCTTGGAGGGTATTAAATGTTAAAATAGTTTCTAAAAATCTTTGGAAACTGTTCTGTGTATAAAAGGTTTAATTTTTTTTTAAAACATGAGTACTTAGGAGAAAGAGCTTAAGCTCCCTCATTTGATTATGTACTTTGCTCCGGATGATGGATCCTACAGAATCTTCTCACATAAATGTGTGGAAACACAGGGAATAATTTGGTTTATGGTGGCTGCTGCTCTACCTTAGAATGCTTGTAACATGAAACGCAACAACTTTTATATTGGACCATTTTTTGTGCCAATGTTTAGATTCTGAGATAATTCTTTGCAACTTAATCAAAACTAATGCTTTTCACCTGCTTCACAGGTTGATGCAGATGGAACACAGGAGGATGTTTTTCTGGAAGTCTGCAAGACAATTGACTCTTTTCTGAAAAAGGAGGAGGCACCGTTTTCTTTTTCAACAGAGTCTCAGTAATGGTGTGTACACAGCCTCACCTCACACGCACTCGACAGTCACAGTTAAAATGCTGTTCAAAGCAATCCCGCTTTCTGGAGAGGTATCTGGAATTTGTGCATGTGGTACCTTATTTGAGATGAAATCTCTGCCAATACACTCCCTAGAAAGCGGTCTGTATGTTAACTGTACACTCAGACCTGTACAGTGTTTTATGGGTTGTTTGCTCTTCACGGGTTAAAAGCAGCATGGCGACCAGCAGCTCTGGTTTGTGTTTCATGATCTCATGCATTTGATGGGAAGTCAGACAGTGCCTGGCCTGCAGCGAGCTCTGCGACCACATCGTTCAACATTTAGCAGAGTAACTTGAAGATCACTGCGTACAAGCTTCCCTTTGGTTATTATTTTATTTTCATTAACACTATTAATTTTTGTGCTATCACTTAGCTTGTTCTTGGGTTGTAGTGACTCAGATCTGTTCTCTGGTACACACAGCTGTGAGACAGCTGGAATGAGTCAAGCTAGAAGTTAAAATAAACTTTTCACACATCCCCAGAACACCATTACAAGAAGCAGAAAAATTAACTGAAGATACAGTTGAATATTGCGGAAGTCTGTCAACCCACTATTGTGGAGCAGACACCATTTTCGAGACAGCCTTGTCTTCCGCTGGGAATTACAGGATATTATAAATGACAACTTGCCAGTTTTGTGAGCTGAGGTGAAAATTATGATTGTCTTGTATAGTTAAATGTGCAATCCGGTAATTATGCATCATAACAGCAGTTTTACTCTATTAATTTAAAGTCTACATACAAATTGTACTGTGAGCCAGAACATATGAAGATGTCTTTAAATCGTACTTTGGAAGCATTTCAAAGGCAAAATTCAGATCATCATCTGTTGTCTTGTACTGGCATTGCCAAAACTTGGGGGGTGGGGGGAGAAGGGAAAGGAAAGTGTCACAGATTATTTGAGTCATATCTTGCATCTTTAGTAAGCCATTCATCTGCAATATCTGCAAAAAAGTCTGTAAAAATCATATTGTATTTCCATGAGGTTAACCAAAACATTGTGGATTTTCTTTGGTATTCTGATAGCTAAATAAAAGCTTGTTTGACATTCCTGTAAAGTAATTGCATCCTCTTACTGGAACTATGGGATGAATTCACACTTGAAGTGGGTTGCATGATTGCTCTTACTGTCAAAGTTGTACTTTATGTGGCAGATTTGTATTTTTAAAGTTACCTTTCTTGTAATGAAGACATAATACAAGTAAAACATAAAAAATGAGGAGTAATGATTTCTGTTACAGTATATGTGGGTTTAATCCTTTTTAAAGCACAGTACATGACTTGAAAATATCGCTCAAATCAGCATGCTTACAGAATATGTCCGTTTTCCATTCAGGGCAGATTCTTCTGTTTCTTCTTCTTCCTTGGCATTTGCCCTGTAAATGCGAATTCAATTATGTTTTAAGGGACTGTTTTAGATATGTTCTTATCCTTCATATCCTGGATGTTCCTTCTTTCCTGGGTCCTTTTATAGCCTACATTTTACCTCTGATGCTCTAGGACGTGCTTCTCCAGCTCCAGACCAATGCCGTTAAGTGACCAGTAACGTCTGCAGTATAACAGCTTTAAGCGAGACACTTTCAGAATGCATCAGCTTGAGAAGGCAGGTTTTTCTAAACCGAGCCTTGAAGCACTAGCAGCTGTCTGGTGTAGTATTTTTCCAAAAAAATAGTAAAATATTCTGGAGTTACCGTGAAGTTGCAAATTCATCTGAGTGGGTTTTGTGGAGTATTTTTTTATAACTTCTAATTACAATATAAGTTGAAAAGTGTGGAGTATCATACTTGTGTGGGATGGGAACAAAGGCAACAATCAACTACTTTTTTTTTTTTTAAATCAAATTACAAAAATTAGTTAACATACAGTTTCATTTTTCTTTCTGCTTCTTCTGGTCTTTCTGTGGAACAAAACAAATTCCCATGCTTGATCGGGTGTATGTGCATTAGGTATCTATTTGCATATGTTCATAATGTATGCAAGAGAAATAGCTGTATATGCATGCATATGGAAATATAAATATTTATACATATTCAATAAAAAGAGGATTTATCCAAGACACTTCTTTCTTGGGTGATTCAGACTTTAAATTCTCCTGCTGCTTCCAATCTAATTCACATTATACCATGGCTTTTTGTCCTTCCCACGCTATCCTAAATTGATGAATGAATATTTTCACTAATGTACTTTTGTTATTTTCTTCCAATAATTTTTTCAGCAGAAAACAAAGATTACCATCGATTCTCTCCCTGATAATACACCTTCACCAACTCTAGCTTCCTATAAAGGGCATGAATGGTGTGGAAAGTGCATTTTTTATTGTATTAGAAAACCTCTCAGAGCAGTACCTTTTCCAATTAAAAACTAAAATACATTATGTGAATCTTTGTGTTGTATTTTTTTAAGGTTTATTAAATTTATCTAAGTATACTAGATATGTGAAATATGTTTACATATGATACTTGCTCAGTGTTTCAGTAACTGTACTGTATTACCTTCTAAATAGATTAAATGTGTAAATTTTTCTTTTTTTTCAAAAAATAACTACACCTAAATTTATTGCCAAACTTAATACTGATCAGTTTATAATTATAAGTTATTAGGTGCAGCCAGCTAATTATCCTTCTTATTGCCATCTTTTAAAGTCAAATTAGTTTCTCTTCTAACTAATTACTCTGAGTATTCAAGTTTCAAAGCAACTGGAAGTCTATTACAGTTATAAAATAATCAAGTGTTTCTGAATCACAAGCTATACATTTCAATAGAAAATATATTAACTAAAATATGTCACAATAATTACAAAGCTTCTCAGACAATGGTATACAGTGTACCCAAGGCTACTAAAATCTGAATTTTCTTCAATCTGAAAAAGAACAGTCTGTGAGTAAGATATGAGAACACTAAAATGCTAATCCTGCAAAAGGCAAAGCATTTTTTAGTAGGCGCAGAGCACCATCAGTTCCCACTGAAATTAACAGCAGAGGAAAGTGCTGGGCATCTTGCAGGTCTGCATAGTGAATCTTGTTATGACGTATTAAAGTGTCCTTTTAATGTTTTCCATCTTAATTAAAAAGTCAAAACTACACAGAAAGGAAGTCACAGCAAGCATTCTATATATAAACAGACTGTATCCACATAGTTTATTTCTCACAGTTCTCCTGACAATTGAACATTATTTAAGAACATACTGTATACACAGATAAGAAGAAACATACAAAATGTTTTAAATGATGCACAACAAAATCCAGCAGTATAAAAGAATGCATGTGAACCCTTGCTCACTGCTCAGGCTAAATTTAATCACCGTTTAAATAGTAATAAAAATACAATCTTTCATGGATCTTGTGCAGACTACAAAAGAGGAAAAATTATTACCATATATATGATTTATATTAGGCAGTTTTCTTTGATGAGTTGCACTAACAACTCCAAATACAGAGGCAGAAGGCTGTGTATTTTATTTTAAAGGAGTTAATGTTGAGTATTAGAGACTTTACACAGTTACTACCACTGGCACTTTTCACCATATTTTGTACACATCACATGATCATCTTATATAACATTACATTTAAAAAATATATCTGAGTGACAATTTTATAACATTCACACACCATGAGCTGGTTAAGGAAGCAATGCCATAGTTGCCCCCTGTAGTGCTTCACTGTTGGTAAATAGAGTTCATCGTGGTTTAAAAAAAAAATTTAAAAACCAAAAATTAAAAAAATTGAAAGTCAATGTGATTAAGCAGCTCCAATTTAATAAAGGCCTGTAACCAACCATTGCTGAGACAGTGAATATTTTTTAGAGTACATCCTAGAAGCAAACACTGTCATTGGTTAAACCTTGCCTAAAGAAGTCAGTTACTGTGCTGAAAACTATTTCACAACAAAACTGCAAGCTACTAAACTGTTTTTATATAAATACTTCATCTCCTCTGGATCTCATTATAACCAAGTTCTTCAAAGCCTTTGGAATTTATTCTATCTTTAATGTGTGCTCTCATTTCTGGCTCACCCTTTTGTATGTTTTTCTTTTGTGTTTAGTTTCACCACCTGAAAATGACTAACGTGGTGAAAGGAAAGTCTCCCAGTAACCCTTCTGCACACTAGGAATGTTCAGCTGCTGTTCAGTGATCTAGAACCATGACAGCTCAAAGCTGTAGTTTGACAAGTACACCCAGGAAGCTGTCATGCTGTGAGCGACATTTCAGGGAAAGCAGAGTCTTTCCAAAATGTGCACAGAATTAACAATGGTGCCATTGTTATTTTTCAAAGAGGATAATAAGCCCAAGATGGTAGATCTGCTTTCCATGTCATCTATTTGCTGGAAAGTAGTTTGGGTCAAGATAATTGTAACTGGTGCCCTGGGACATGCAGTAGTCTCTGTCTAAAAATGTCTCTGCTCTGTAAATAGGTTCTAACTGATGATCTTCCTTATGAATCTCTGTTTCATGCAGACTGCAAGGGAAAGAAAAAGATAAGTTTAAAATTCAAACACGTTCCTTACTTTTAACTTTCAGAAATAGCAATCATATTAAGAGATTCATATCAAACTTGATACCAATTAATTCATAAAGTATAATTTTCCCCACTATTCAACAGTACCAAACTTATCTGTCCACTCTATTAAGAAAAAAAATTTTATACATCCATTACAAAATATATCTCCCCCAAAGATATGCTAGAAGTCACCCAACACAGGAGGTGTGTACTGTGCTGGCGCAAAGACTTCCAACATAGAAGCAATTAAGCCACATAGAGAGATTCAAGCTAATTGCAAGTAACAAGTAGAAGCGTAAACTGCTCACCAGTCAGAACAAGAATCACAGAAATCCAAGGACATTTCTTGAGGGCAGTCTTGGCAGTGCCACCGAACACCCTGGATAGGTTCAATTCCGCAGTTATCACACTGTGAAGCAGATGGCAGAGCATTGAAAAAACAACTGCAATCACTTATGTTAGTAACAATATACACCAATACACCATATAGAAAGGAACGTATGTAGGTCAATTACTACTAGCTCACACAGCTGAATTCTTCTCATCACAGACCATAAAGTATTT